CTACTAGTGGTGAGAAAGTGTATTGCACCTTATTAGATTTTTTTTTAAACCTTTCACCTTATTCAAAATCAATGCTGTCCCGCGGCCCTTTGTGGCCCAAAGTTAAAAACTGTTGTTCTTTTAAGGTCAAGGTCGCACTCGCGCCCCACAATTGGGCCGCGGCCCATGGTTTAAGAATCTCTGGACTAAAGGATCTTTTTAAGGAGTCATGTAACTGTTGTAAAGAATGAATGCACCGTTCATTTTATAGGTTTTATGTACTGTTTATGTTGTTTCCCCTTCGCCATCTTCCCATTTTTGAGTGTTTTTTGCACTCTCAGGCCAACAAGAAACATAAATAAGAAACTGTTCTTAATGTTTTGCCTGTTGAAATAAAGGTTAAATAAAAATTTAAAAATCATGCATGCGTTCCTGTTTTTACATCCTGTTCTGGAGTTTGTAACACTGTATTAGGCAGTGTTTATTTGTAAAGCTAACCCTTTAGTTTCTGTTATTACTCACGTAGAAATGATTACTTAGATTTTTGTAGAAACTCAAAGAATCTGATGTGCATTTTTTTTACACATGAAAAGCTTAGTGCTGTGTGCCGATCGCTCACAGTAATGGTGACTTCTCTTTGTATTTGTGTTYAAATGATGTGACCGTATTGTGAGTTCAGGCTTTTAATCTGTCCTTTTTGAGTTGTATTTCTAAACCACACATTCACAGAAAGAAAGTCACATCAGTGTAATTTATACTGAGACCGTATTTCCTTTTGGGTGTGGATTTTACACAAAATTAACTAGAGCATTTCCACATAATTTAATGTTTACAGAAAGATTTAGTGGTTTCTGTCCTCTTGTATTATAAATTAGAAATATAGCTTAACAACTCCATTTTGCATTTAATATGCAGTTTATAAACTTAAATCAACTATATAATATTATATTGACTGTTTAAAGCACCAGCTTACATTCTGTTTATCTCTTCTAGCTGTTTCGACGCGTGGCTGCGGCTCTGCCGGGGATGGAAAGCATGCAAGAAATGAGCAAAGAAGGGAGTATCCTTTGACACTAATGGTTTTATTTAAAAAAAATCTAATTTACTGACATCACGTCAAACCAAACATGTTTATCTTCTCTGGGTTGTGTCTTTCACTCCTTTATTTTGCTTATACGTGAACAGACGGTAAGAATTTGCATGCTCTCAGCCATCCTGCCTAATTAAATGTGTTTGCTGTAAACTTTTTAGCTGGCTGTCAGCTCCGGTGTCTGACAGGTTCAGCTAGACTTGTTGTGAAGTTCCGTCTGCAGACAGCGGCAGGTTTGGCTCATTTAAACCACTGACGGAGTCTAAATATCTGGATCTCTGCTGCTGCCTGAGGAACTTAGTCCCACACTGCAGCAAACAAAACTAAACCAGCACCTGTTTGTTTGTATTTTGTCCCGGGAAATAGAAGAAATGTTTAGTTGTTTTTGGTCATTTAACCACAGATTTTATCCTCTGAGTGTTTGTCAGCAGTATATTCTTTATTGAATCATACACTAAAAAACATGTTTTTATCRTTATTCAGTAGTTTCAATATAACTGTTAGGACAGATTGGGATCTAAATGTTATTAGCTCCAATGAATATAATGAAAGCATTTATTCTGATATTACATTTTCAAATCTTGTAGAATGTAGACTGCTAATGAAGTCCTGCAGATTTAAAATATATTTGGATTTAAATCAATGACAAAAGGTTTTTCAGTCCTTTATCACTGATTTTTCAGAGGTTCATTTAAAAACGAAGAGAGGTGACAGTTCCTACACCACGTGTCAAACTCAAGGCCCTCAGGCCAAATGTGGCACATCACAGCATTGTATRTGACCCATGAGAGCTTCAAAGATGGAGTAATGCCTTTATAATAAGCTACTTTAAAGCCAGCATTGACCATAAACTACAGCTCCCATAATACATTAATTGTTTTTCCTTTATAATGACAGCTTCCACCACTAGGTGGAGCTGCACAGGGTTCAAAAGTAGATTCTCCATTTAGCTGCATTTTCACCAGCTACTGTTGCTGCTCGGCTGCATTTATAAAACATTTACAAATCATAAATTTAAACTCAAACACCCCTTTAGTGGGAATTCCCTGTCAGAAAGTGGGAGAATTCAGAAATCAAGACAGCAGATACTCATTTATTTCACATTTAGTCAGTCGTACACGTAGCACTTTTCAGTGTTTATAAGAGGATGTGTTAAAACACTGTTTCTATGCAGCAAATACCAGGTAGAGCTCAATTAGTGTAGAGCTCAGTTATTGTTAGCGGAGCTCAGAAACGTGATGTTTTGAGTTTAGTCAAAGTTAAACATGAAACGTTGAYGTTAATCACAGCTGGTCCTTTGAGGACCACCATGATGCTCGTGTGGCCCTCAGTGAAAATGAGCTTGACACTCCTGGGGTATCCAGTCCTGAAAAGTCTGGACTTTAGTTTCTGTGTCCGGTTCTGGATAAGTCCCAACAAATAAAAGTAGAGAAGCAATGACATTTATATTTCCAGACTTTCTTTCCTGTTCCATTAGATAAAAGCTCATTAAAGCAGTGTTTTTCATACATATAAGGTGCATATTTTATAGCTTTAAACACTGACTGTTTGTTTAAATCCAGAACAATTGTTCTGTTCTGCAGCTTTTATACGCATTAACTGACACTCTTGACTCTGAAACTTTTTATCTCTCGCCGCCATGATAGACGAATCATAACATAATTACTCACCTGTATGTTTGTCTGTTAGCAAAATATCTCGTGAACTGCTGGTCGCATCAGGAAAYCATCATCTGCAACTGATTTGTCTTTTAAAGTCCGCTTGATTCCAGATGCTCATCAGTTTTAGTCAGAGTTGTAAAGTAACTAAGTACAAATACTTTGTTACTGTACTTAAAGTCACAGTGTGTAGGATTTTGTCAATTCTTTTAGCCGAAATTGAGATAATCACTAATGACAATAATAATAAACATGTC